GCTTTCGCCGCGATGATTGCTGGGTATCCGGGGCGTGGGCCCTTGCTTCAAAATTTGGGGGCTTGACCACCACCATCCGCATATCTATCCCTAGCGAAGAACACCTAGGACTTAAACCATAAACCCTAAACCCTTCTTCTGGTGGGATGAAGTGAGTGGGGGGCAGACGTTGGGTTCCCTCATAGACTCCCTTGAACAAAAGAGTTTCCTTCTCACTTCTCACTTCTATATGGCAGTGGAACCCAGAGCCCTAAACCTGGAGACCGTTTCAGAGCTGCCATGCTCTGGCTGCTTAGTTGCCCAGTTTCGGAGTTGAGTCATACCGTGCTCTGGGACACTATGTTTTTGTTTCTTCTAGTTGCCGCTGGGGACCCAGAGGCGGACGGACAGGTGGGGTTTAGGGTTGAGGGTTTAGGGTTGCCGGGACTCCGGACATGGGGGGGGGGGGGGGGGGTGTTTTGGGGAATTCTCCCCAATCTGACGTGAATGTTTGTGCTGGTTGTGGGGATTCAAAGGCCGGGCCAGCAACCTGCACTTACCAGATGGTTACTTCTCTATAAAGTACTGACAAACTGTACACTTTCGAATCTGCAACACTTGCAGGAGTTTGGGGGGGTACTTGGTCCAGGTGCGGTTCAACCGCCTCCGAAGCTCTCCTGGCACATGCACACGCACATGCACGGTGGCACGGGCACGTGTACGCGCAGCCGCAGTCAGGTTTCAAGAGCCGGTTTAGGGCTTAGGGTTTAGGGTTTAGGGCCACCATGAGCGACGTGAGCGAAGCCCAGGAGGCAGGAATCCATTGCTCGCACAGAGCTCGGGAGTCTGACAAGATGATCGGAGAGGCCGGGCATGCGGCCTCACACTCCGGAAGTGAAGGCAAGCGACCCTTGAGCATCCAGAGTCTCGGAGGCTATGCCGTGCAGGTCGATGTCGACCCTATGGCAACGGTCTGGGAAGTGATGGAAGCTGTAGCAGCCAAAGTCGGCCGCCCCAAGGAGTCCCTCGCGCTGACCTCTGGCGGCGGTGTGCTCGATCTGCATGAGCCCCTGCTGAAACAGGTGACGAACGACGAAGTCACGTACGTGGCTCAACGCTACGGGGCGGGTCGGGCCGCTGTGAGCTTGGAGAATATGCTTGCGAAGAAAGCCTTGAATCCTGCGGATGCGTGCGCTCTCAATGAAGTGGTCTCCTTGACGTTTGGAGATGGCTTCAACCAGAGCTTGAAGGGGATCCAGCTGCCCAGCACCCTGCAGGCGTTGACGTTTGGACATTACTTCAACAAGAGCTTGGAGGGGATCCAGCTGCCCAGCACCCTGCAGACGTTGACGTTCGGCGACCGGTTCAACAAGAGCTTGCAGGGGATCCAGCTGCCCAGCACCGTGCAGATGTTGACGTTTGGCAGCAGGTTCAACCAGAGCTTGGAGGGGATCCAGCTGCCCAGCAGCCTGAAAACGTTAACGTTTGGCGACAGCTTCAACCAGAGCTTAGAGGGCATCCAGCTGCCCAGCGCCCTGCAGAAGTTGACGTTTGGCTTCCATTTCAATCAGAGCTTGGAGCGCATCCAGCTTCCAAGCAGCCTGCAGACGTTGACGTTTGGATTCAAATTCAACCAGAGCTTGAAAGGGATCCAGCTTCCCAGCACCCTGCAGGCGTTGACGTTTGAAGGTGACTTCAACCAGAGCTTGGAGGGGATCCAGCTTCCTAGTACCCTGCAGGCGTTGACGTTTGGCCACAAGTTCAACCAGAGCTTGGAGGGGATCCAGTTCCCCAGCACGCTGCAGACATTGACGTTTGGCTGTAACTTCAACAAGAGATTGGAGGGGACCCAGCTGCCCAGCACCCTGCAGATGTTGACGTGTGGAAGTGACTTCATCCAGAGCCCGGAGGGGATCCAGCTCCCCAGCACCCTACAGACGTTGACGTTTGGACATGACTTCAACCAGAGCTTGGAGGGGATGCAGCTGCCAAGCACTCTGCAGATGTTGACGTTTGGCTTCCGTTTCAACCAGAGCTTGGAGGGGATCCAGTTGCCCAGCGCCCTGCAGAAGTTGACGTTTGGACATGACTTCAACCAGAGCTTGGATGGGATGCAGCTGCCCAGCGCTTTGCAGACATTGTCGTTTGGCGCGCAGTTCAACCAGAGCCTGGAGGGGGTCCAGCTCCCCTGCACCTTGCAGACGTTGAGTTTTGGAAGTGACTTCAACCAGAGCTTGGAGGGGATCCGGTTGCCTAGCACCCTGCAGACGTTAACGTTTGGCAGCAGGTTCAACCAGAGCTTGGAGGGGGTCCAGCTGCCCGGCGCCCTGCAGACGTTGACGTTTGGCAACAGGTTCAACCAGAGCTTGCAGGGGATCCAGCTGCCCGGCGCCCTGCAGACGTTGACGTTTGGCAACAGGTTCAACCAGAGCTTGCAGGGGATCCAGCTGCCCGGCGCACTGCAGACGTTGACGTTTAAAGAAGACTTCAACCAGATCCTGGAGGGTATCCAGCTGCCCAGCGCCATGCAGACGTTGACGTTTGGCAACAGGTTCAACCAGAGCTTGCAGGGGATCCAACTGCCCGGCGCGCTGCAGGCGTTGACGTTTGGATGCGAGTTCAACCAGAGCTTGGAGGGGATCCAGCTCCCCAGCACACTGCAGACTTTGACGTTTGGACATGACTTCAACCAGAGCTTGGATGGGATCCAGCTGCCAAGCACTCTGCAGACGTTGACATTTGGAAATGGCTTCAACCAGGTCTTGCAGGGGATCCAGCTGCCCGGCGCCCTGCAGACGTTGAGGTTTGGAGAAGACTTTAACCAGAGCTTGGAGGGGATCCAGTTGCCCAGCGCCCTGCAGACGTTGACGTTTGGCAACAAGTTCAACCAGAGCTTGCAGGGGATCCAGCTCCCCAACAGCCTGCAGAGTGTCCAGTTACGGCTGCTTCGTGTTGCCAGTTCGCTGAGCGCGGAAGAAGAGACATAAGACAAAGCGCATGCTTGGACAGCACGGAAACCTTGAACCCTGAAGCCCAAACCTCAAACCCTAAACTAAATCCTGAACCCAAGCCCTAAAGCCCAATCTCAGACCCCTCAAACCCAAACCCAAACATCCAATCTCAAACCCTAAGCCCTCAAGCCCAAACCCCCAAACCCTAAACACTAAACTCTCAAACTACAGCGGGCCGGCGTCCAAGGGGCCAAAGCCATAGAAGCTTCGAAGTTCGAAGGGCTGCAATCCGATTCCATCAATCAACCCTACGACCCGCAATCTCTGCAAACGGAAGTCCCAAAGCCCTGAGAACGAAGATCTCAAGCTCTAAGGGTCCATGTGCCTAAACCCTAAACCCTAAACCCTAAAGTTGAAAGAATACGGATATCTCCCTTGTATAGTCATGTTATGCAGAGCAAGACAAGAGCCTACTGTTACCTTTTGGCTCAAGATGAAAACAAGCCCGTGTGAAGGAGGGCTGTGGTTCCCTGGGGTTCCCCTTCCCTCTTCCCTGTTCTTACCCTAACATCGTGTCATCGCTGTTTTGGGTAGGGAAAACTGGTTATCAGGTCCGTATTGCGTTCATTGCTGTAGCGGAGTCAAATGGATGGACCGTTCGGAGCCCACGCCTCCTGAGATTCTCCCTCGGCCAAAGGCCACTCGTGGCATTCGTGGAGGAAGGGCTGCTCAGCGCAAGCGACGTGCTTGGCAGCTAGTTCAGTTCAATCTTGCTCTTGGCACGGAGAACTGAACGAGTACGCTGACATCAATCAGGTCCCAATCATTAGGCCTGACGGAGCCAGTAGGCCTGTGATTAAAGCACCTGCCTCAGATCCGTTCTCAGTGGATTCGGAAGAAGAGGGTCATAGTGCTGGAGAGCAAGAGAGCGTTGGTGAAGTTGCAGACGATTCTCGAACTTCTTCAAGTGCTAGTCTTCGTGAGCCTCCAGAGCCGATTCCTTTGCCTCTGCCAAAGACAACGTCCCGTGTTGTATTGGTTCCGAAAGCGAAAGCCTCAGGCTGCCTCCCCCGCCTCCCAAAGCACGGCCGAGAGAGCGACCAAGTCTGCGAGATCCGCCAGTTGTTTTGAAGCCTGCAGCTGCACCTAAGTTGCGTCCTGCAGCTCCTCTGTATCCACCTCCTGCAAAGGCTCGAGTCTCAAGTGAAGGTGCAAGCGCTCCTGCGAGGCAAGTTTTGCAGTTGGGAGAAGCAAGGCGTACAATAACTGCGGAAATCCAGTTCGCGTTCCTGTTGATCAGGTGGCTCAGGCGCGTGCAGTCCTTGCTTTTGATTTTCACGGAGTCCTTGACCGTGATATTCGTCAGTGCGCAAATTGGCGCGACGATATCCCAGAGTATCCGGACCGCAACATTCACTTTTTGCAGAGGTTGAGTCAGATTACGGAGAGCAGGCAGATATTGGTGGTGGTGCTTTCTTATTGCCATCATTCTGACACAGTAGCTCACGTTCTTGGCGCGAGTTGCAACAGCATTGATCGGCTCATCCGTGAAGCAGGAGTTTCAGTCCTCTCGCTACTTTTTATCACCCGCAAACCCACGGGTGAATCAGGAAAGCGGGCGCTGCTGGAGAAGGTCTTTGATATTGCTCGTTGTCCCATTGCCATTGTTGACGACAGTGCAGAAGTTGTGGACGAGTGTGCTGGAGCATCATTCATCACTCCGTTCCACATTTCTTTGGCTAAGCGAGGCAGGCGGGTTTATCCTTGATCTACGGTGCCCAGTTTTTCTGGTCTGATTGAAGCAGAAGAGTCGCTTTGCAACTGGTGTATCAACTCTGTTCCGAATTTCGAGGAGTGAACGGAGTGCCTGTCCTTGAAGGATAGTGCGGCGAATTTTCGCCACATCCTTCCACTGTTGCGCCAGTGAACGCCGTGAGCCTCGCCTCTCCCGCCAAAAGAAAGGGTGCGTTGAGCTGCTGCAAAGCGCTTCCACCTCCCATTGCAATGTCTTCCCCCTCAGACCCTAGCAATCAAGCTAGTTCGGTACTTGATTTGTCAAGTGCTTCAGCCATGGCATTGCCAGGTGGTGTCGGTTCTGATAGTGGTTCGGCTACGAGTAGTTCTCCGGTTGAGCTCCGTGAAAGGTCCCCTCCTCTGACTAGACGAGCTTTGTCTGGACCTCGCAGAACTCATGAGCATTCAAGCCCTTACCCGAATCTAACCGCTCAAGCCTCATACACGCAGAACATCCTGAACGTAGGAGCATCCCCGCAAGAAGTTCTAGATGCCCAACGTTTGGCTGCAGCACAAGCAGCGCAGCAAGTAGCTGATCATGCTGAACAACTCCATGCCGTGAGGCTAGAGCGAGTTGAGAATGAGGCTAGAAGTTTGGTTGAAGCCACTGTTGAGCAAATGCGTGAGCAGTTGCAACAGTACGAGCAGCGTTACGATGAGATCCTTCAACAGGGTCGAATCTTGGAAGAACAGCTATCCGTAGCTAAGGCCGAGCTAAGCAAGGTCGAAGCAGAACTTCAGGTTGCTCGTGCAGGGTACCAAGAGCTTGAAGCCGCCCTAACAAGCTGCCGGGGTGATAACAATTTGCTGAACTTCCAAAACACCCAGCTACGAGTTGAGTTGCAAGTCAAAGGCCGCGAGATTCAGAGACTCCGTCAGGCTGCTCTAAGCGCCACGAGTCCTGGGTCTTCGCCTCCAAAGCCTGCACCTCGCCAGCAAGATGTGCCGCCAGCGATTGCGTCAGGTGCTCGTTCTGGTGGGTCTAGTTGGGTACATATCGGTTCTAATGGGGACAATAGTGGTGCACCTTCATTGCCGCAAGTGGTCGGTGAGTCTGCCCCTTGTCCTCCTGCAACCGTTACCGATCCTCGTGTTGATCAGTTGATTGATGTCGTACAGCAACTGCTTGCCCAAAGAAATGCCACGGATCAAAGATGCAATGATGCATCCCCTGTTCATGAGATCGAAGAACCTGAAAGGCAAGAGAAGCATGTCGTTGACAGCCGAGCTTTGTTACATCTCAAGCTTGAGCCGGTTCCTTCCGATGCTGGTGGTTTCCGAGCCTGGAAAAACGCGTTGTTGGTCCAGATTGCCAAGCTTGACATGTCAGGCGAAGGTTTGGTTGTTGAATGGTTGTCTCGGTCTTTCACAGCTGAGAAAGAAGAGCTTACTGAGTCGGGTCTTCTTCCTCGCCTTGACGCTTGGATTGCTGGAGAAATGACTTCCATGCGTGTGTTGAAGCAAGTGACTGAGTTGGAGCAAGAGGTTATCGCCTATGTTGAGTTGTGCGGCCAGACAGGGTCCCAGCCGAAAGGTCGACGCATGCTTGCCCTTCTTGCCCATCATGTCAGCATCGACCGTGTTCGAGGTACTGTGCTGACTGCTTCAACGTTGTTCCAGGTTGAAATCGGAGGAAACTCCGTGCGAGATCTTCGGGACTTTGTGCAGCGTGTAAGGACTGTTCTGTGTTCCATCCCAATCGGACAAAGGCCAGATGATCGCCTTACTGAGAGTGGCTCTTCCACCGTGTGAAGCACATTCGAAAGTTAGAGCGTGTCATCGAAGACATCAGAGAATCCGCGCCTGAATCCCGTCGTCGTGAGTGGGATTACCTATGGAACAAAATACAAGATGTCCTTGTTCAAGAGCGAGAAGACACCAATGCTCAGTCTGTAATCAAGTCCTTGCAGATTGCAGCTCCGCAGGCAAAGGCCAGGGGGGTGCCCGCTGAGACCGAAGAGCCACCGCGAAGTCTTCCAGAGCCCAAGACTCCGCCAAAGGCTCCAGTGTCTACAACCCCAGCACCAACCCCTGAGCCTGAGGCGAGAGCAAAGCCAAAGGCAAAAAGCATGTCAGACGCAGAGAAGGCTAAGACGCCTTGCATTTTCTTCAGGATGGCATCCAGTTGCATGCATGGAGAGAATTGCAAGTACTGTCACGCCCCTGATAAGACCCCTAAGGTTGACCCTAAGTCTAAGCCTAAAGCTGCCGCTCCCAAGCCCAAGTCCACAGGAGCAGATGCGAGAGCAGTCGTGGCAATGGTTGCTGCCTCAAGCGTGTGCAACATCCCGGGAAGCGACGCCTTTAGCGTTGAGTGGGCAGCGGCTGGTCGGCATCTTGGATCGTCACGAGTTTTGGCTGATCAGGGAATCCCTTCGGAGTCATACAGGTCGTTTCTTGCGGACTCAGCGAGCCATGCTAATTACGTTCCACACAGATGGTGGACCTCAGCCTGGTTCGCAGAGCTTGGGATTTGCGTCCGATAATATGCCTCTCGCCAATCACTACATGTTGGACAACTGCCCAGTTGTTCGAAGCGCCGGCTTGGATGTTGAATCTGGGAAGGCCTTCATATGGTTACCTGGTTCACTTCCATTCTTCGTTCATGACTAGGCTTCGGATCGACTGCGCCGGAAGAGCCAAGTATTATGCCACGCGCATGGATGAGCGTGTGCCGATCTTCACCAGCAAAGTTCAGTTTGTCCATGGTCTTGCTGCGTTAGCTGAATCCCATGAAGAGTCGAGTGAGGACTGCCAAGAGCCTTCAAGTCTCGTTGCTCATGATCCAGCTGAAGAGTATGCCGAAGACCTTTTAGCTAAGCATAGTGACATTCAGCCCAATCAGATTCGTAAGATCTTTGGACTTGTGAAACGTGGCTCTGCGCCGCGAGGGATCGTTCCAAGTGATGACTTGCCCTTTGCAGTCAGCTGCTTCCGTCGAGGTGGTGTAGCCGGTTTATTGAAGTCCACAAAGGAGTACCCTTTTGTCACTCGTGCATTAAACCAGTTTGCGCAGCGCAAAGCCCCCGGGCATGTGTACACCACTATCAATCTGTTGCACAATGTGTCCGCAGATCCTCGCAAGGATTCCCATAACGCTGGGATTGACCATGTTGGCATTTCGTTGGGAGGTTTCTCTGGTTGGGGTGTTTGGGTAGAAGATCCTGCAGGGAAAGACAAGTGTCCTTTTCCAAGCCTTTCGCAGATTGGCAAGTTCCTGAGTTTCAAGAAAGGGGTCATCAAGTTCTCCGCCAAGAATCGACTTCATGCCACGCAGTCTTGGACCGGTGATCGACTTGTGATGCTCTTGCGTGCTGTAAAAGATCCAGCTTCTCTCCAATCTGATGTCTTTGATTCCCTCGCAGGAGCTGGGTTTCCTTTAGACGGTCTTCCGCTGGTTGATGTCATTCCCGCAGAAGTTGAGTCGTCCGAGATACCTTCCTCTTCGTCAGGGGGGCTACCCAAAAGGGACCTTATCGAAGCAAACCCGGATGGTTCAACTGCGTCCGCACTTCCAGAAGGGGATAAGCCTTTACGTCTAGGTTCTTCAGGGTCTCCTGTCGTTGACAATGCCGATGTCAGTGACAGAATCCGAAGACCAAGAGAAGAAGCTGTCAGTGTAAAGTTCATTATAGGGTTGTCGCGCTTGTCATACTTCAGGGGGGTGAAATAAGTTTCGAGTGGCCAAGAGACACTGCAGGTTGGTCCTTGCCTGAGATCGTTGCTTTTGTTGATCAATTCAATCTTCTCACCGTGGAGGCCCACGGATGCGCTTTCGGACTTGTGTCTTCCAAAAGTGGTCCCACGCCAAAGCCTTGGAAGATCCTGCCCAGCAGTAATAGCGTTTGGCGAATGATCTTTCGGTCTATCAGTGCGCGTGCTCGAAGCACTTCAAGCATGATGCTGTTGAAGGTTCCGATTCAAGGCTTTCAGCATTCTATCCCGAAGCCATGGCCAAAGCAATCTTGATTTTCTTGTTTCCGTTTGCGCAAGCGTTTGTTGCACCGGCTTCGCCTTGCATGCCCAAATTTCCTCAACTTCGCAGGGCCAAGGATGTCCGTCCGCGAATGCCACTCGACCCTCTGATGTTTGAGTCTGGTTTGCGCAACATCCGGGTCCCTGGTTACGTCCATCGCCTGTTGGATCGAAGAGAATGGACTTCTCAGCTTGCTGCGCTCGAGAGGGTCCTAAAAGGAAAGAGCGGTCTCCAAAAGGCAGGTACTTGGATAGAAGGAGAGATAATGCTGCAAAGTGAGGTGCTTGCTTGGGCACGCAGGACTTCCAATGTGATTCACTTCGGAAATTTGTTTACATTGAGTGGTAAGTTGTCGAAGCGTGCAGGTTTCTGGAGTTCCTTGTTAAAACAAGTTGAGCTCGAGCCGTGTGCTCCACTTACCAGAATATTTGATCGCAACCACCGTCTCGTCTTGTATCACGGTCAAGCAGCTATTGCCTTGGAGACTGAAGATTTTGCCAAGCAATGTGTTGATTCGTATGAATCCTTAGTTGGTTCCAGTGTTAAGCACCAGCGGACTTCGCGTGTTGACCCAGGAGCTCTATCACCTCGTGATAATGTTGCTCGGGGTTCTCTTGCCGACAGTGCCGCTCGCATTTTGATGAAGATTCTGAAGCTAGCCCGCTTGAATCGCCCAGATCTTATGGTGGCAGTGACCACCCTCACAACCAATGTCTGTCGTTGGTCAGTGAATGATGATAAGAGGGTTGCCAGGTTGGTAGGCTCCATTGCTGCCACGGTTCAACACAACCCTGTAACGCTTGTCCACGACCCGGCATCATCTCTGCATCTTGCCCTATATGTGGACTCAGACTTTGGTGGCTGCATTGACACTGCGCGTTCCACAAGTGGGTATATCGTTGCCCTTGAAGGTAGCAACTCATTTGTCCTTCTGTCATGGTCAAGCAAGAGGCAGAAAGTGGTCTCAAGAAGCCCTCCCGAGGCAGAATTTGTGTCTTTGAGCAGTGCACTGTTCAATGATGCATTGCCATTACTTGAAGTTTGGCAAACCGTGATTCCTGGCATCAAGCTTTTGTGTCATGCAAATAACGAAGCTTGCATCGCCATTCTCCGTAAAGGATATTCAGCTCAGCTGAGAAAGGTGATCCTTTGACGAAGGCTCTTTCAATTCGGAAATGGGCTCATGCACAAAAGTTGCTGCACATTTCCACTGAGCATCTGCCAGATGTTCCCACCTAAGTGTGTTCACCATCACCTAAAGCTTTGTGACACTCGCCTCCAGTGATGATTTTGCGATGGCTGTTCAGCTGAGCGATGCTTCCATCGCTGTGCGACTTGCAGACACTCAGATGCCCAGCGGCCGCTCTCTTCATCCTTGTGTCACCCGAATGAGTTCTTGAAGACCTCGTTCCTAAATCATTGCCTATCCTCAATCTTGCACTGTGTGATGTCAGTGTTTGGCTGCTGCCTAGCGCCACGCTGACTCTGCGTGAGCACAGCGCAGCTGTGCTTCTGATTGGGAGTAGTCTTGTATAGATTGCAAGTTGAATTACCTTAAAGGGTCATTGAGTCTGCGTTTCAGCCTGATCACCTGAGATACCGGATTCAATTGTAAAGGGCTAAGCCCACGCCAAATCAACAGTAGGTTTTGCTGCAGAGTTTACCTCGTAGCTGTTGCCTCCTGATGTCCAGAATCGAGCTTTAAATGAGCTCTATGATGTCTGCAAACATGAAGGGGGGGGGAGTTGAAAGAATACGGATATCTCCCTTGTGTAGTCATGTTATGCAGAGCAAGACAAGAGCCTACTGTTACCTTTTGGCTCAAGATGAAAACAAGCCCGTGTGAGAAGGGCTCTGACTTGAGGGCTGTGGTTCTCTTGGGGTTCCCCTTCCCTCTTCCCTGTTCTTACCCTAACATCGTGTCAGCGCTGTTTTCGGTAGGGAAAACTCCTAAACCCTAAACCCTAAACCCTAAACCCTAAACCCTAAACCCTAAACCCTAAACCCTAAACCCTAAACCCTAAACCCTAAACCCTAAACCCTAAACCTTATTTTTCGCCCCAAAGCCCCTATGGTTGGAGGTACTTTGAGGCCCAAGTATTCCCTATTTCGGCACATGGACTGACTCTTAGGGAAGCTCAGGGCAATCAAGGGGCCTGATAAGTGGACTATGCGTACAGTTAAAATTGGTTAGTAAGTACCACGAACCTCCAAGTACATGGTAACTTTTTAGGGGTAGGGAGTTCTTGAGGACCCTATAGTAACCTCTATGCTTCGCAGCGCCGCTGCCCCCATGTGGTGGGTAGTGGGGTTAGGGGGGGGGGGGGGGGGGGGGTGGTGTTGGGATTTAGGGGTTCAGGGGTCAGTGGTTTAGGGATTGGGGTGTAGGCTTTAGGTTTTAGGGTTTTCAGGTTTTGTGCAAGCACCCTAGAGATAAGCAGATCGAGGGTTGCCAGTTTTAGAGTTCAGGGTTGTCGGGTTTTCAGCTTTATAGGGCTTTCGAGCCCCCCCCCCCCCCCCCCCCCCCCCCCAAATACCTTGCTGTTCTGACTATATTTATGGGACTGCTCACCTAAGTTAGGATCCTTGTCACCAAGTTATTAAGGTCCTTATACCCTAAACCCTAAACCCTAAACCCTAAAGGGGCCCCCTTCCTTGGAGTGTTTGAGGGTACGGCGGAATTTTGGGGAGTCTGGTGTTGCATCAAGTTGCATTTCAGGGTTCTACCGGTAAGCCCGAAACCCTAAACCCCGCCAAATAAGAAGTCCTTGGAGGT